TATTGAAAACATCTCAAATGAAACAAGTGATTCATGAGAACTGATCATGTTGTTTCTGTTGACATGACGTGATCTGGCAGCTCGACGCGGTCCGGCTGTTTATTACGTGATCATGATCAAAAACACACGTTCATCAGCTGAGGAACATTTTAAAAGGTTATTTGAACTTATTAATATATTAACTTCACATTAACAGACACATTTCAACAAAAACATTAAGAATAAATATCCACAAACCTGAGAGTGAAGGTGGAGACCAAACCTGGAGAGAGAAGATTCATCACGAGGATGATTCCACGTCAGTGAGTCAGAGAATTTAAAAACTGTTTCAATCAAAGTGTGAGAATCTGCATTCTGATAGAAAACTGAAAATATGGAAAATAATGTTAAATAAATAAAATAGAAAAACAACAAGAGCCCGAAGATCACCGGAAAAGGGGCCATTTGAAACTTCATAATAAAAGCAGCCAACGTTGCATGTTCGTCTTCTACTGACAGAACTGTGTTGAAGTATTTTTACCAAAAATAAACATCCAGAAATATACTCGTGAAAACGATCCCAGCTTCAGATACAGATGAAACTGAACGTTCAAAAACACAAAGAATCAAGTCTCGATGCTCTTTTAGTTTTCAGTTGTGAAGTTGATGAGACACACGATGAGACACATGATGAGACACGATGAGACACATGATGAGACACATGATGAGACACTGGATGAGACACTGGATGAGACACACGATGACACTGGATGAGACCATTTGAATCCAAAGAAGAAAAGTCCAAACATTTAAACACGTTTCGTCCAAAGCTCACTCAGTGATTCAAACCGTTTTATGTTGAAAGTGCCAGCCGGATGTGTGTTGTGTTCACGGCGCCTCGACGATCCGGACACTCAGAGACTCGCTCAGGAGAAAGTGGACGAAGGTTCGGAGAGAAGCGGAAAGTGCGAAACTTCAAACCTGCGTGAAAACCTGACGTCGGATCTTCTCCGGAGTGAAACACGATCGAGATCCGGGGAAAGTTTGTGGAGTAAAAAAACAAAGAATCCGAGCTGGTCTCCGAAGCTGCGCACAAACTGAAGCCGGGATCCGGTCACTGAGAGCGGCTGAAGAGCGTCTGACAGGCCGGAGAGAGGAGGTGGGTCCCCGGGTCTCAACTCAACTAACTACCCTCTGTCCACGGGTCACTTATACTAACTAACCTCTGTCTAAACTAACTACCCTCTGTCTGCAGGTCAGTTAAACTAACTAACCTCTGTCTGCAGGTCAGTTAAACTAACTAACCTCTGTCTAAACTCAACTAACTACCCTCTGTCCACAGGTCACTTACACTAACTAACCTCTGTCTCAACTAACTAACCTCTGTCT